AGAATGCCTGGCAGGGCTGGCTGGGGAATTCTGGGAGTTGAAGTCCACTCATCTTAAAGTGGCCAAGTTTGGACAACATTGATCTAGAACTTATCTTATTGATTTGATTGAGTGCCATCAAGTCAGTATCAACTCTTAGCGACCTCATGGATAGGTTCTCTCCAGAATTAGAGCCCTATTTTAATTCTACGATATCAGGGCTGCTATGACTATCTAGATGACCATTACATGACAGCAAAGAGATAGAGAAAGATCTAACTCTTTGCAGCTACCTAGTGTTGGTCTGAAATGTTGCATCCCAGATACTGTATGGTAGCCCTAATTTATATATTGGTGTTAAAATCTTTTATAAAAATGCCTTCATGCATGTTATCAGTGTCTTATTTTTCTATTACAATATCTGTGGTGGGATCTCTTATAAAAAGACTTCATTCTGGATCTCAGCTTTCCTAGAAACTATTTATTTAGAACATTTATATCTTGCTTTGCATTAGTCATGGAATTAATGTCAGAGAACTTGGGGTCTTATGGTGATCTCTCATTCAGGCACTGGCCAAGTCCAGATCTGCTTAATTTAGTGAAGAAGTCACATATCTCCAGCCATGAAGTAGAAGAAAGTAGGATGTGTGTTTAATGTCAGGAAAAATATATTGCAAGGGAACCCCATAAATATTTTATTAGAATTGGCAAGTTACACTGAATGTTCTATGATGAGGAACCAGCACAAGGACAGTAAGACTCCTGTATGCAAGAGATCGCCTTGATTTAAAAGTCCATTCAGATATCCCTTGTTAATGATTAATTCACAGCACAAAATACTACTTCTGAAAATAGTAACTTGCATAAGTACTTGTGTACATCTTATTTATGCATCACATTTATTCCCCACTTTTCATTATAAAATAATCCCAAATCAAGGTACAAAGCAATAAAACTAAAAAAAAAAAAAAATTACAGGCAAAGCAGAGGAGAAGACAGAGAAAGAAATATGAAACACAGCAGCCCAAATTCAGCCAGAAATTGGATGACCATGTAGTTTTACTGGTGCCAAAGCTTATATAGCTCACCACCAGCTATAACAAGGAAGAAAGAAAATTCCATAAGCAGATTTCAAGGACATCCTTCCTTGAATCACTAAACAGTGAATCTTAGTAAATACAGCAGCCTCAGATCAGCAGCCTCACTACATCATCTCAGTACAGCAAAGCCTAATTTAGGCTTTCGCTGTACCATTGCTTGCAAAGCACATGGTTATTTTTTCATATAATACTAGAAGTCATTGTTATATAGGAAAGACAGGTTCTTCTTACCTCAACATGATCATCTTCTCAAAGGAAAAAACAATCCAATACCTCTTCTTACCTGGGGATCCCCAAAGTAGATTTGCATGATTAAGGCCACCGTGACTCCTGTAGCAAACGTTAGGCAGGCAGTGATGATCACAGTAAGACCATCCTGGCGACAGCTGCAGTCCCCAGAGAATGGGTCCTTACTGGTCTCCCGAAGTGGTGAGACATCCTGGCTGCCCATTTCTGATGAAGAAGAAGGCAGGCGCTGAAGGCGAGCTGACTTAAGGAACGAATCTGGATCTTCGGTCAAAAAAGAAAACAGTATATTAGAAAAAGATGTCAAGCAGGAACAAGACTGGATTTTTATTAGCTAAAAGCATAGCCCCTGAGATACTTACACTACTGCTGCTAATAAGTCCCAATAAGACTGCTGCTTTTCTGCTTATAGTGAGCTTTCAAGAGTCTTTTGGGCTCAGGTGCCACTATGACAGAGTCAGATTACATATAATTCTCACTAATTCCTGGCAATCTTAAGATAATATTAAACAATAAACAGAGAAGGGGACTATTCTGCACCCTGGAGTTTGGGCCGTACATTTTTTACCCATGAATTTTATTGCCATTTCTGCTGTATGTACTTATATTACAAACATGTCCCCACAGCATGGTAGCAGCTGCAAAAATGCCATTTTATTAAAAAATAAAGAAAGAAAGGTAAAGGACTAACCTCAAGACTATCCAGGATTAAAAGTCAAAGAGAAAGCCTGTATTAAAAGGATCTGTTTGGGTTACCAGTGCAAATCCCTGAATCATAGAAACATAATCATAAGTGCCCTGCTAGATCAAACCCCTGGTCCATCTAATCCAAGAAGCCTGTTCTCACAATGGCCAGACAACTGCACAAGGAAGCCCACTAGTCTCCCAGCAGCCTTCAGAGGCATTCACACTGCCATCAAGGCTAATAGCCACTGATCCCCGTAACTTCCATGAATTGGTCTAACAATTGCCTTTGTAGTGAATCCAAACACTGATCCATTTATCTTAGTTTTCCCATATTCCTGAGTGCTGTGATTCAGTTCCTTATTTCCACAGAGAGTAGGAAAGAAGTTGCTAATTCACAGAAGTCACCCTTTTGTTGCTCTAATTCAGCCAAACCCAGTTTGGTGCCCTCAAAATACACTGATCGCTATAGTAAGGCTGACTGAGGTGATGATAGTTGAAATCCAATACCTCTGAGGGTATCAGATTGGGGAAGATGATTTCATTCTATAGATTCTTCTGGTCCCTGGTAGTTGATTGCACAGGCCAAGGATAAGCAACTACTGCCACTTCAGGTATTACTGAATAATAAGTCTAGCACCCCTAAGAAGCATGACCAGTGATGTGGACAGCTGGTAGTTGTGGTTCAGCAATTGCAGGAGTGGCTAAATTGCCTTCCTCGGGCATTGGACCTTTCCCAGCCTCTGCTGAAGTATAATGCTATCCACCCATTCTTGAGTAGGCAGAAAAATTATACCAGGAGGACATTTGCTGTCTCCGTTGCTGATCCCTCTCCTCCCTCTGTTCCTAGTCAGTGCCAGTCACCTGACTTCCCTCCAAGATAAAGGCCAACTAATTTTGTGCCCCTTGAGACTGCCCTAAGATGGCATTGGAGTAAGGAGTAATGCAGTGGACAACTTTAGCCTGTCTCATTCACAGGCTGGCAAGGAGATAAAGGCAACTTTATGGGGACACAGCAGAAATTGCTGCCAAGGAATTTTGTGTCATGATGGATCGAGGAGGGGACATGGCCATAGTCTAAGTCTTTTTAAGGGGAGGAAGAAGAAAGAACTGCAGGTGGATATAACCTTAAGAAATTCTTAGCAGATTTGCAGAGCCTGGTACATGACATCAGAAAAATTGTCTAGAATGCATAAAGGTACTTTGAATTTATGCTGGAAATGTGAACAACATGGACACTTTAACATGTTTGGTGGATGTGTAAAAAAGCCAAAAAATTTTGGATACAAATACATACACTAATTCATAAGATTTTAAAGACCAAAGTACAATTGAAACCAGAGACTTTTCTTTTGAAACTAAGGGCAGACAACTAGAAAAATGTTGTGGATCTTTATGTTTATGTATGACAACTGCAGCAAGATTATTACATGCTCACAAGTGGAAAGGTTCAACAATACCCATAATGGAGGAATAGTTGGTGAAGATGATGGAACTTGCAGAGATGGCTAAATTGAGGTCCTTGATCAGAGAAAAGACAATATCTACATTTATGGCTGACTGGAAACCCCTTATAGACTTTTTGCATGAAACAAATGCCCTTGTGATTTGTGGTTTTGATGATTAGGAAAAACCTAGATAATAGAAAAAAGTGAGCTTTTCTTTTTGTAACCATAAAATAAGAAATAACTTTGTAATCATTCTTGTATTTGCTGCAAAGAAAATCAGAAGCTTCTTCTATTTCTTTTTATCTTTTTTCCTGCACCTTTGTCTTTTTTCTTTCTTTCCCTTTTTTTACTCTGTATTAGTTTTTGTTAGTTTTTATCTTTTAAAGAGAAGATTAATAAAATTAATGATAGATAGATAGATAGATAGATAGATAGATAGATAGATAGATAGATAGATAGATTTGCAGAGCCTGGGATCCTTAACAGCTGATGTAGTCCAGATTTAAGTTCTTCCCTCCAGAGCTATGAGGATCACATGAAGTAGCAAATAGATTTGTGGATGGCTGCTTGTAAAAGTAATCAGCTCACAGTCTTTTTACAGTCAGGGTGTAGAACCAGATAGACATGATTCCAACCATATTTTAGAGAAATGTATCAGAAGGCTTATGGGAATCTCAGGGTTTCTGGACAGGAGATCTTAACAACAACAGAAGTGTGCTAATGCCCTTAGAAATAGCCTAATGAAGAAAGGGTAGATCTTGACTGATGTACTGGTGCTAGGAAATTGACAGGAATGGAATAGGGAAGATGGAATGCAAGTAACAGCTTTCCTCACCATAACATTTCAAGTGGTCTCACTCATAAATTGTCCATTGAAGAACCCTTTGAAAAGTTAAGCTCCCCCTCTTCACAGCATATCCCTCAACATAGATTACTAAGTGCAAAATTGTTTTTGCAGTCCTTATAGCTACTGTCACTGATTTGGAGATGAGATTTAGCACCTGATCCTATCCAGGAAGATACAGAGCAATTCAGTGGGAAAGGATAATCACTATTCACAGAGGAATTCCTGGGAAACTCTTGGGAAACTTGAGTTCTAAGGCATGGTATGCAATCTGAGTCCCATAAATTCTGTCAAATTGTATTATAGCAGGAGATTAAGAAAATATTAAATGGGTGGACAGTAATCATATAGACCAGTGTTTCTCAACCTTGGCCACTTTAAGCTATGTGGACATCAACTCCCGGAAATCCCCAGCCAGCTAAGTCCACACATCTTCAAGTGCCTGACTTTAAGGTGGTGTTGAACTGTACAAGGTTGCATTTCCTTTCAGGGAGATTTCTTCAAATTTTGTCATTAGAAGCCCAGCTGGTCCCTGTACCATGCAGAATCTTCTGCCTGTTGAAAGTGGGTGTTGTGACCACCCTTTCTTGTGCAAAAACAGCTTAGTCACAGCTATCCATACCCCAGTAAGCTCCATGTTTGATTACTGCAACACGCAACCGTTTGAGATTTCTAAAAAATTCAATCATTTCAGATACTAGGCTGCTCATGGAGTCAGGCCCTACAAATCATATGATTACGATTTTAAGAAATAGCTTCACTGGCTGCTTCAACAGTTCCAAATAGAATTCAAAGCAAGTTTTTTTTTTAATAGTATCCTTTAAAACTCGAGTAACTGAAAAGCTTCTTTAACTGAGATAATTCTCTAGGCCTTTTTTTCTACAACAGAAGTTAAAAAGCCCATTGTACAGTTGGTGATTGTGCAATCAACCTTTTATCTGCAGATGCTAGAGACAGAAGTTTGTGCACAGGAGGGCTTTTGGACTGTTTTTCAACTGCAGAAAACTGTTCCTACCTATCACTGTAGTGTTAGTTGCATGGTCATAAATTACTGAGGGCTGACAAAAATGTACCTATGCTCTAGGAATTAAAGTTCACCTGCATTAGTGCAACTCAGCCCTTACAGAATTACTTATCCAGAAGTAACCCATGCACAGTCAATCTCAACCTTGCATCCAGATTTTTCTTCCTTTGAAAACAGCCATCCCTGGCCTGGAATCTTCTGTTGGGATTCCAACTCATGCCTTGGTGGCTGGAAATTCTGGGAGTTGAATACATCTGGAGGTTATAAGGCTAGGGAATACTGCTTTAAAGTCTTGCAGACGTCAGCTCATATATGACAAGATCACATTTAAACATCCTTGTAAAGAAATTCACTTAAAAACACTCACATTCACTCTTATAAAATAACCTGCATGCTTATCTAACACTTGACTGCACCCAAGCAGTGATCTCACTGTTTTATAGAATACATTGTTATTAAACAATAGGGGGTAGAAAGAAAATGAAACAAATGTTGCATGTAAATATATTTTAATGTAACAATCCTTTAAAATTGAAAAAGAACAAAGTACTAGTGGTCTCCTGAGTGCACTTGCTTGATCTACAGGTAGTGTCAAGCTAACAATATCAGAACACAATCCATCCAGAGTTAAGCATATTAACATACCAATGACTTAAAGTACATAATTTTCTCCATTCAAAATAAAGGGGGGAAAACTGCTTAATTCTGTTTGGATCTTGGCCCAAGATTTCACTTCCAGAAATCATATTGTAGAAGTAAAATACTGTAGTTTCACACTATAGGTAATAAAATGCACAAACAATAACGTTCCAATTTTTGTTGAAATGTGCAGTGTAACTATTGCAGAAACAAGCAAAACCCCATTCAAATATGGACAAATTTAAAGAAAACTGATGGCTTGATCTGGAAATAATCAATTTTCTATATAATGACTCTATGTTCTAGATAATTACAATCAGGCATAAAGGAACTTAAGTAATTACATATGCAAATTAAATGCTAACTTTATTTTCCAAGCTGTTTAAGGGATGAACCTAACACAATTTTGAATCCCCTCCCCCAATAGTGTGAAAATTAATATTCTCTAATATCAAGATACAACTTCACCAATATATTGTCTTCTTCATGATATCTAGTGTTGAAACTGTATCCCTAACACTCCCGTGACTTGCCGATCAGCCCTAGATATTAATAACAACCCCCTCCCAAACACACACACACACACGGAATCATTAATGTTCCCATCCAAAGATGTGGGAAGCTG